CCCTCCTTTGAAATTACAGCCCCCTGAAATCCGCCCCTAAGAATAGTCTTTTTTTTATATTAGCGGTACCCTGTTGTACGAGAATTATTAAATTTGATACACCATGGTTTTATGACATGTGAAATCTGATAGTGCTATGCTTTTTAGCAGGGAATCCCCTTATGACAATTTTTCCTGGGCCCCGTTTGGAGCCAAAAAAATTTGGTCGTATATTTAAATTTCTTAAAAATTATGATTCCGTTAGAAAGCCAGTAAATTTAGAAACTTTTTTGTCACCTGATACTTTTTTCGTAAAACGCAATGTTTTCGAGAAAAAATATCAAAACGTGATCGAATGCATATTGTGATTCGCCATTTTTCTTAAAAACATTGCGTTTTACGAAAAAAAATATTGAGGAAAAAAAAGTTTCTAAATTCAATAGTTTTCTAGGGAACTAATAAATTTTAAGAAATTCAAATAGGCGACCAAATTTTTTTGGTTGCAATGACGGAGGCCCACAAAATAGTGTCTTTAGGGGGTTCCCCGCCAAAATGCGTAGCACTATCAGATTCCGCATTATAAAACCCCTGTGTACCAAATTTAGTGATTCTTGTACAACAGGATTCTGAGCTTTAGGGGCAGATTTCAGGGGACTGTAACTCCGAAAGAGGGGGCACTTCGCAAAAATAAAAAATATGGGTCCCCTAATTTTATCTTAAGAATCTATGATCAAATTTTGTTACATTAATTTCGGGACACCGTGTATGTACAAGTTGATTGTGAAAAAATAAGTATTTTGCAAATATGTGTGCAAACGTTTTCGAGACCTCAGGATTGGTAGCCCCCTATTTTATTTGCTACATTAGATATACAGGGCAACTTAAAGTGGTCATATTTTGATAATAAAGCCTGGGATTTGTACCATTTTTTTAGGGAATGATTAAATGATTTCTAGGTCCACAAAGAGAACTTTCAGGAAGAAAAAATTCGGAAATTTGTGAAATAAAAAATGAAGTCAGTGGTTGCCTACCTATTTTTTCCATAACTTCATAGGTACAAACAGCCCCTTTTTTAGTTTTCGCAAAATTAATATTTTTTACAAAGTTAACAGCATTACGACATTTGAAAAATAGAATGTTAGTGTCAAATTAAAACTTAAATAGAAAAACAGGAAAAAAACTTAATTATGCAATAAAATTACACAAACGTGTGTGAAACTTTTTATTTTCTTGATAATAGCAAATTTTTTCCACATAAAAGTTTTTTCTTGTGAGCATAGAAATCATTCCCCAAAAAATGGTGTGGGTCCTATGCTTTAGTATCAAAATATGACCATTTTTAATTTTCACTAGTGGCCACTGCTGCATAAGAGGGCCCGACTAATTGTTGACATTCCTGATAGTTTTAGAAGTTAGGCCATCGGCGGTCAGGGGGCAGCACAATCGACATCGTCAGAACTAAAAAAGCATGGCTCAAAAAGAGGCAAATTGTTACTTAAACTGTTATAGGATAATTTCTTATAAATGTTAATGATAAACGCATAATTTGTTATATCTGAGGGCGTAGATGCAGCGCCCCCTGGATCCTGACAGCCCACAAACGTCAAAATTTTTTTACACGAGTCAACCCCTGTATCTGAAATAAGTTTTTTATTTCACATATTTCATTTGAAATTTATTCATGATGAAAGATCTCTCTGTCAGCCTAGAAATCATCCTCAAAAAAAACTACATGGATTCCTTTTTAATTGCCAGTGTTGCGAGAAACAACTATTCTGCGGACTATATGCCCCGACTGGCATTGAATTATACTCGCAACAGCTAGGATCGTTAGTTTAACCCATCAGGCACAGACAAGTTTCGGACTTATTAGTCCTCATCAGTCTGTCATAGGTGAGACAACCGACGAACGATCCACTGATTGAACCATTTCGGCTCCGTGTACTATATGGTTTACACCTTTCATTTTCAAATTACGATTAATTTTCTCCAGCTGCCACCTTTACAAATTTCCACTCAAATACATGTATATAATCTGTCAACAGCACCATATTGCAGGACCTGCATTTGCTGGTGTAGAGAATATTTTCTCATACACAAATGATATCCTGTTACTAATTTTTAAAGTAAAATTTTGCGAAATCATAAAAGTATAAATAGTGCGTAACTAAATTTATTATCTCATAATTTGGTAACTAAAAATTTTAGATTTAAAAATGTGTTGATCTTAAAATCAGATCTGTATTTTTTTACTATACTAATTAGATATTAAAAAATTATTTATGCAAACACTTGGCATTCTAATTATTACTGATATGACGGCTTCCTAAGTGTCTCACTTAAGACTGCAAGGGAGGGAGGGTTATTTGCCACTTTTGAACAAGCGGCAGCGCAAATTACAAATTTCTTTACACCAAAAAGCAATTTGAGTTTCAAACTAAGTCCATTTTATAGAAAATCTGTGTTAACATGGGGGAAAGTCTGTTACTTGTGCTTTAATTCATACTTACAAGGAGAAGGCAAGGTAATCGGATTTTTATAGTTATAGTTATATTTCGTTTGTTCATAATTTTCGAGATAAGAAAAAGAAAGAAAGCCTTAAAAGTTTCTGCTTCCCGTGTTTCTATGATAACTACCATTCCGGTTCATGCCACATGAAGAATATTGCTAGATATACAGGGTATAGCAAAAGTACAGGAACGGCAGAATAACTCGACGGGAGAGCACTTCAGAGAAAAATGTTAAAATACAAAAGTTTCAGGATTTCTCCCTGGCTATCCGATGGTGACCTTGTCATTGACCTTGAAGATCATTTCAAGGTCAAGTGTGATTTTTCAAATGGGATCCTATACTTTTGACCTCAGAAATGAAATGAGCAGACAATTTTACGTTCAGATATGACCTTGAGTGACCCCTCCCATTTGACCTTGGGGCCTCTACAAGGTCAAACTAAGAAAAGTACAGGAACGGCAGAATAACTCGGGGGGAGAGCATTTCAAAGAGAAATGTTCAATACAAAAGTTTCAGGATTTTTCCCTGGCTATCCAATGGTGACCTTGACATTGATTTTTGTATATAACATTTTTCTCTAAAATGCTCTTCCGCCGAGTTATTCTGCCATTCCTGTACTTTTGTTAGTTTGACCTTGTGGGGACCCCAAGGTCAAAAAGGTGGGGTCACAAGGTCATATCTGAACGTCACATTTTCCGCTCCTTTCATTTCTGGGGTTGAAAATATAGGGCCCCATTTGAAAAATCACATTTGACCTTGAAATTATCTTCATGGTCAATGTCAAGGTCACCATCGGATAGCAAGGGAGAAATCCTGAAACTTTTGTATTTAACATTTTTCTCTAAAATGCTCTCCCGCACAGTTATTCAGCCGTTCCGGTACTTTCGCTATACCCTGTATATAAGTAGTTATTATAATATTTCGTTTGTTCATGATTTTCGAGGTGAGAAAAAGAATAAAAAAAACATGATGCGTTTTGAAGGGGGAAAAAAATGTAGCGCAACGAGACTCGAACCAGCGACCTCGTAGCTGTCGGACTCGAACGCTACCAACTAGGCCACACTCCCAGTTGAAAAATGTGTCGCATCTAATGGATTTAGCTGGCAGGTAAAACTTCAAAATCGATTATCTCGGTAATTTATGAACATTGCGTCGAACTACTTCGGAGAATTCTTATTCAAGTTCCAAACTACACGTACCATAAATATTAAAAATTACAAAAATCCGATTACCTTGCCTGCTCCTTGTTAGACAAACTGTGTAATAAAATCTATAACAATATATTGCTGGTTGCCTATTTGCTATAGCGCCCTTTTAACACAATTTATTTGTAAATATCAATTTCCATTTTTATAATTATTTTGATAAATCAGTGATTACAAGCCACATGACTATTGAGCTTAGGCAACCAACATTGTACGATTGGCACAGTTAACTAAAAAAATCCCTTATTTATTTCTCTTTTGATGACGATCAATATTAATGATTCGTTTACAATGAATAATGACAAACCGTTGCATCTATGCTACAGATAATATAATCGTCGAATGCTTGAATAAAATGTTGTGAAAATTACACCAATCACCAGCCGGTGAAACAGACTGTTGTGTTTCTATGTAAACTTGATCTTATTGTTTTAATTTTACTGAAATTTAATTACCAACGTGAAGGAAATAAAATTACTGTTCCGAACAAAATGACTGGTCATGTGGCTTGTAATCATTTATGAAAGTGCATTCAACGAAGGTGAATCCTCGGTATTATAAACACAATGAGCTCTATCTTTTGAGGTGAATTTAAAGTAAACGAGTCAAAAATTAAGAGGGCTCTATAGCAAATAGACAACCAGCAATACATTTTTATAGATTTTACTGCACAGTTTGTCTAAATATGAATTAATGCACAAATAACAGACTTTCCTCCATTCTAACACAGATTTTCTATAAAATGGAGATAGTTCGAAACTCAAATTACTTTTTGCCAGAGAGAAATTTGTAATTTGTATCTTAAATTACAAATTTCTTTACACCAGAGTCATTTGAGTTTCAAACTGACTCCATTTTATAGAAAATTTGCGTTACAATGGGGAAATGTCTGTTATTTGTGTATTAATTCATATTTAGTCAAACTGTGTAATAAAATCTATAAAAATGTATTGCTGGTTGCCTATTTGCTAGAGAGCCCTTTAAAAAGATTCAACAAGTGTTACAGTTTTAAGTAGGACACTGTATATGCCAATAAAGAACGAAATTGTTCTGTAAATCTTATAAATTTAAATTAACAGTCGATCTCAAATTCTGTTCTAAGATGCCACACAACACTCTTGGCAATCCACGATGTAATATGTTTCCCAATGAATTAATTATCATTTAATACCATATTTAATACGATACGTTTAGAAGTAGGAGTTTTATTGTTATCCGTAAGTACCTAATTACATTTTGTTCTTTTAATATAAATAAATTTGACTGAATAACAGTGCAATATGAAAGGAAAAAATAAATACAAAATAAAAATTATAATTTTATGTTGGTAAAATAAAATAAATAACATTTGTATATTAATCACTTCTAATAGAACGGCCAAAGTAAATCGCGAAACATATTACTTGCACATTCTAAGGGGGGGCCTATTACAGGGGCAAAAAAGAAGAAGCAATTAATTGCAGCGGGTCTTCGCCCCTGGCCCCCTGTCCTGTCATACGTATTCTAGTGGCGATCGTTTGCCCTTACATCTCCTTTCCAAATACCTTTCTAACAGTTTCTTAAATTCAGAAAAGATCCATACCGACGATGTTAGCGCCGTCAAAAATGCCATATCTGTAAAAAAATCGTTTGTTAATGTCAAACTTCATGTAAAATCTACTTATAACTAAGGCAGGACATTTTTAGTTCGTTTCCACTAACGTATGGCTGGGTAGGTACGCCACGCCGCCGCGCTGCTAGGAATAACAAATAAAACAGGAATCGGCAATAACCCGCATTCTAGTGACAGCAGTAGATAGGTAGTATCTGGTAGTTGCGTCGCAGCATATCAGATTTGTATTTTGTTCTTTCTTCATCGATGATATTCTTTCTGCTTTAAAAATATAAATACATAGGTATGTCGAAATTAAGTCCTAACAAACAACTGTTTCTGCACGCATTACATTTTGTAACAGAAACAATTCATCGGTGTTACCCAAGTAGTACAGTCATTTCACCTCCGAATTCTTTGAAACTGAACCGATCGACTTGGAATTTCGCAGATAGTTAGAGAAAAGGTCAATGAACATTAGTGACATAGCGCCGATTGATGTTTCCACCCTGTTGGGGGTTGACACCCCTTCTCGGAGGTGGAAATATTTTTTTCAAAAATAACGCTGGAACTCGATAGAGAAACAAATTCTGAGCAAAAAATATTCGAAGAATTTTTTCGAGAAATTAATTGTTTTTTAGTTATTCACGATTGAAAACTTGGAATTTTGAGTGAAAAAAAAAAACACTTTTTTAAAGTATTTTTCGCAAATAACTCAAAAACTAGTCATTTTTTTATTAAAAAAAAGTGTAATGAACAAAAATGTAGCTTGTAAATAAACAAAGAAAATAATTTTTTAAAAAATGGACGTCCTATATAAAGCGAAATATGGTTAGTGGTAGGGGACTTGTTTTGGAGGGAATACTCGAATCGTTGTATTCAACGTCAAATGACGGAAAAATTATTAATTTTACGTGTATAACGCTCCAGGAGTTTTTTTGTAGTACTCAAAAAGACCTTCAAAATGAGCACTTATAAAAGTTAATTAGAGCAAAATTGATGGAGTTATCGTCAAAAACAGATGGGTTGCTCATATTTTTTAAGGAAAAATGAGCAGTAAATGCTGTACCATTTCCATTAGAATTAAAATTAATCATAGACCCTTTAGAATTAGTTTTGTTTCAGTGTTTTTCATACGATCCTGAAGTTAGACCGGTTTAGAATGCATATTTTTTTAATAATGTACGGTAAAAGTTGAAAACGTATTTTTCATTATTCAAAAAAATTGCCTTATTTATATAACTCTGAGACTATGAAAGATGCGTAAAAAATGATAGACAACAAAAATGTAGTTTTTTTTTTCATCAAATATTTTGCTTTTTTTATTCCTATAGCATAAAAATAAAGGAGATATTGCCACGTGAAGTATCCATTTTAGTGAAAAAACGACCTGTCTCGAGCCCTTCGATCCTTTCCCTTTAAAAAATGAAGGACTTAAAAACTCTTGAAATTATCTTTAAAATGCTTTTTTGTAGCATACTATAGCTTCAAAATTAACCGAGTTATGGTAAAAAAACCAATGACATTTTTACGGAGCAAAATAGGCTTTCACATTTTTGGAGCAAAATGTTAGGATTCAAGTACACGTCAGCGTGTATAAAAGTTTATATGCAGCGTAGCAATTTTTTAAATTTTATTTTACATTAATATTGGTAAATGGGTAGTTTATAAGAGTTGAAAATGGCAAAAGTAAAATATTCTTTCATAAATATAAGGGAATTTTTATTTTAAATTATTGCACAATTATAGCATTCCAAGTTTTAAAACGTAATTTTTTATCACAGGGGTGATTTATAAGGGCTGAAGTGTTATGAGATACACATTCTTTCATAAGCAATGAGGGAATTTTTATTTTAAATTGCACCGTTAAAGCAATCCAAGCTTTTAAAAAGTAATTTTTTATCATTTTTGTCAATACAGGAGTGGTTTTTAGGGGCTGAAATTGAAAAATTCTTTTATTAAGTATAAGGTAACTTTTATTTTAAATAATTGCAAATCTTTAAAAAGTAATTTTTTATCATTATTGCATATGGGTAGTTTTTAAGGGTTAAATAAAGGGTCAAAAAGATCAAATATATCATAAAACATGTTCGAGAACATGGAACATTATTTAATCTTTGTACTTGAATAAGATTTTTATCAATAAAACGCTTAAAACTTAATTTTTTCAATTTTTTTCACAGAGGGGTAGTTTTTTCCCCTAAAAAAACAAAAAGCGTCAATCGGGCTTATGTCACTTTTAAACTTGAGCCTAAGATGAGCCTTATTCTAAATTTTCATGCAAATCCATGCAGTTTCAAAGAATTTGGAGATTACAGCTGATTTTCAGCATCATGACTGTACTAAAGGCAGTTTTTCTTAAAAGCCCCGTAAAAGTATTCGTCAATTCCACCACCAGTGTCCTGGCATTCCAGAACCTCCACAATACATTCTTACACAATGGGGGACATGGTTAGAGGCATCATTTTATTTTTTAAACATTTTCAAAAAGTAAAATCCGTAATTTTACAATTCGATGCCAAAGAATCCGCTGTGTATTCGGAAGAGCCAAATAAAATTTCAAGATAATCGAGTTAAAGCAGAGTTGGAAAATATTCACAATAATTACATTCCAATTGAGGACGCTATAAAAATCTTACAAAATACTGCATTATCGTTAGATAAATCACTGCAAATAGTAGATGACATTCAAACAGTGCTATATGCCTTAAGTGACGAGAAAAGTGTTTGCGCCAGACAAGTTTGACAATGTTTTAAGAAATCCAGATTTCTCCAGATTAAGACACCTCCATAGCAATTGTGCTCCCACGGATTCCTTAACTGCTTTTAGAGATTACTTCAAATATGTACCTATAACGTCATTAGATATCGACCAATCGTTTTCGTTATATACAATTTTTTTTCTCCGTTACGGACATCGCTTAAAGAATTATAACCTTGAATTTATTAATTTAGGAAAAAATATAGAAGAAAATTAAGCATATGCAATGTACTAAAAATACTAACAAAAACAATTTTGTTACTTACCCCATGCTGTAAGAGCTTCCGTCTGAAATATTTGCTGTAACGGGGGAACGTATACCACCAGCATCTGTCCAACCACCGACAAAGTGACAGCGATCAAAAACATTTTGTTGGTAAACACCCCTATCTGAAATACGCTTTTTGTTTGTGATCGGCAAGAAAGGGCATTCCACATATCGAAAAACACAAAGCAAGTGAATGTCATCGTCGTATCTCTCGCTGTAAGGCCTTCTGAACTCCTCTGAAATTGTAAAGATTTCTTCAGTACTGAAAAACGAGATTTGACAGCAATGTGTGACATAACTCTCAATGGGAAATGTGCTCGCGGCTAGCACACAGATTTATTTGAGGTTATACATGAAATTATAAAAAAAAGTTAAAAAAAATCCGTTCAATTCAATTAATTCAAGACGGAATTTCAGAAAACACATTTATGCGAAAGTATAAGAAATTGAAAATTAAATTTTAAAATACTGTGATCTTAAAAATTTGGATATAAAATAAGGTGTGCTTACCTCTTTCTGGAAAACCCACAGAGTGCCAGCAATTATGAATAGAGCAGATAGTAACACGTTGACGATAAGTTTCTTGGTAATCATGGGTTCCTTAGTATCTCTTGGGTTTTGTTTGAGGACATCCTCCTCTACAGGTTCCACACCTAAACTTTGTGCAGGCGGTCCATCCATTATAATATTAATCCATAAAATCTGAAAATCGGGCAATCAATAAAAAATACACGCTCGACAAAGCTGTTACGTACTTGCATAGCGTTGAGTGGATTTGGCATGTCCAAGAACGTCGATAGTGCTATCAGAGACAGTGCGGCTATTGATGTGGACAATTGAAACCTGACGAAGTTCCTGATGTTGTAAAATATACTTTTACCTTCTTCTATAGCAGCTCTGAAAAAAAGAATTATAAATACAACAGTTGTAATTTTGATTATACGGTAGAATCTCAATTATCCAGGTCGACCGGGACCGAACCGTTGCTGGATAATCGAAAACACGGTTAATCGAAATAACGCGCAAACTCGCCAATTTTGCAAAAAATAAGAACTTTATTACACACAACCTATTACATACACATGTACATAAGTGCAATAGAAAATAAAAAGGGTGATACATATGTATGAAGAAATTTTGCACGTGCAGGAACGAAATGCTAGAATGCGTAGGAAAATAATACATACGCGACAAATAAGCAGAGATTTGTCATTGTTCTTATTTTTGAGCGCTTTTTTCACCCCGCGCCGGATAATTCGCTCATGGATAGCGGATACATCGCATCACAGGAAGAATTCGCCGCACGGATTAGCGATGCACGGATAATCGAGGCTCTACTGTATTATTTGTTTTTGTCCACAAAGTTGTTAGCTTATAATAATTTCTAATAGAGTGTTTGTCACCTTTATACATATTACAATAAAATTTTATGAAATTATTATTTAACTTGCAATTTAAAAAAAATACAAAACTGTAATGAATTTGGAGGACAACGATCAATATATTATAATATATNTGAAAAGACACCCAAAATGAAGAATTGAATATTACCAATAAATATAAAAGCTATTAGCATGTGAATTTTTCTATCGAATTATTCTTGATACAAAGAAAGATTTATTCTCATGACTGAAATAAGCATGTTGAATTAGAAAATCCACCCTTAAGCGCGCTCAGGGGGTGGAATCATCCCCAAAAATAGAGAATATCAGAAATAATTGTAAAAATTAAAAAAAAAATATATTAAGATAATTCAGGGTTAGGAAAATATGGATTAACTATTCGTAGTAAGTTTCAAGAAAAAACTACCCCTAAATAAGAGTTGTAGCCACCCCATTCTCAAAAAAATACAGCAAAATTCATTCTTATTTTAATTTTCCTATAGAATAAATCTCAGAAAAATTCATACATTTTCATGACTGAAATGGGCATGTTGACTTCGAGACTCTACCCTCAAGAGCTCTAAGGGGTTTTTTACGACAAGTAATTTGTATTTTTAAGTACTTTTTTTAATTCATTGCGATTTGTGAAAAAAACGGGCGAAAATCACAGGTTTTTTGTGGTCACTCTTTATGGAATGAAAGAATCCCATCCCAACTCACCGAGACAAAAAAAGACACATAGGGGCAACATCAATTGTTTTTTTTTTTAATATTTGAGGGGTTATTCATATTGATTAGGTGCCTGAAGGTCAGACTGCTAACCAAGAGTGTTATAAGGTTTTAACAACTGCTTGTAATTAGGGAAAAAAAAGGTGAGAAATGTAGAATTATTCGTGGATCCCTCATCAGTGCAATCCGCCAGCGCACATGGCGTTCTCTATCTAGATTTTTCTGACGAAGCACGGAATTGTCACATTGGAACATCCACCCTACTCACCTGACATAGCTCCGAGTGACTTTTTTTGTCCCCGAAAGTCAAGTCTGTTTTAAAGGGTTTGTTGAGGATTAAAAGAAAAAAACAGCAAAGTTCACGAACGACCTCGCAGAAAAGGGTCTTGCAGTATTACTTCCAACAAAGAAAGACACGTACAGAGCAGTGAAGAGATCGGGCAAGGTACTATATTGAAAGGGATAATATGAATATTAAGTAATTTTGTTAACGATTTTTTTTAGAAGTTCGGTTATTTATAGCCGCTTAGAAGTGGCTCAAAACAATAAATGCTAGTTATAGATAAATGTAATGAGTATTAGTTGTCTGCAAATAACATTATGCTGTAATATACTTTTTAAAAATCTTACATAATTGTGTAGAAATCGTCATCCACTAGAATCATGTCAGCTGCCTCTTTACAAACGTCAGTGCCATTTTTGCCCATAGCGATACCAATGTCCGCTTTTTTTAATGCAACTCCGTCGTTAACGCCATCACCGGTCATGCCAACAATATGGCCTGTTCTTTGAAGAGATTTCACAATGGACAATTTATTTTTCGGAGAAACCCTGTAGAAAACGGTGACTCGAGGAATGGCTTCATCGAGTTCGGTTTCTGTGAACGTGTCCAATTGCTCTCCCGACATTACTTGTGAAGGCAATACTTCAAGTCCTATTAGTTGGGCTGAAAATTAATTACAATTTCAAATGTATTTATGTAAATTCTTTTTCAGGTATTACGCCTTATAAAGGGTGTAACTTTTTATGGTAAGGTAAGGTAACGTAAAGGTTGGGAATAAATTAAATGGTGAATTTTTTTTTTTTTTAAATAAATTTTTATCATATGAGGTTATGCTCTAAGGATTTTCTTTTCCAAGCTATAGGGCGTTAAAAAGTTACAAAAAATTTAGTTTTTCTCCAATAACTTTCGAATATTATAAGATAATGGAACGAAATTTTAGCCTTAGGTTAATTTGATAATCCGCTAGTAACAGGAAAAAGATTCACTTTGTACGTTACTCAGTAGCGTGCATACAGATTGCACTGTAAGGTTTTTCGAAGAAAATTGTGGTAAACCACTGGTAAAAACACTTTTTTAATATTTTTTTATGAACCATTTTTTATTTTAAGCAAAATTACCCTCTTGCGTTTTATTTCTAGCTCTTGTAATTTTTCCGTAAATAAAACTTTTGTAAATATGTACCATTTTTTCCCACTGCTAACTAACATAGGAAAATAAAAATAACAAAAACATTATGAAGTATGCTTTGACTCAGCCACCGAACATGGTCAAATAAGCGTTGAAAAAAAGACTTTTGCATTGAAAATGATATTAAAAAATTAAATATTTTCAATTTTTTTAGTGCCCTGCAGCTTGGAAAAGAAAACCCGTAAAGCAAAACTTTATATGATAAATATTTCTTTCTTAAAATAATTCCGTTTACTTCCAAGTAGTCATTATCGTTCTGAACGGGCAGATACCGAAATACCAATGAAAAAAAAATGTATATTACGCAAACAAGACTTGCATCCTTTCCACATTTAAAAAAATGTACAAAATTTTCAACCAAGAGATCGTGCCAGAAGATTGGGGTTTTGTGAATAGATTAATGCTAATCGTCAACTAGTTCCAATAATGCTTTTTACTGACGAAGCTGATACATAATTAGCACTCTAACACATAATTTGCATGTATCATTATTTTTAGACGAGTTTTTAACGGAAACGGTTACTCCTAGAGACTTCAAAAAGGTGTACATTCTTAAGTAGAAAAGATAGGAAAAAATGTTTTTCTGTTCCGAAATAACATACACCGTGGCAAAAAAAAGTTGAAGCGATTTAAAAGGATCCTAATAGTCGCTTGTGGCACTCTCTGGGAGATACAGCCAATCATCCATAAAACTTGAATTTTCCGTCCCAAGAAACCTCCGCATACAAAATTTCATGAATTTAACTCAAAGTAGTCGAGAGTTATTAAAGAAAATGTAGTAATTTTTTTTAATTTGACATCCTGTATATCCTAAACGAAGCGTTTTCAGACCTAAGTTCATAGGAAATTTTTTGCTTAAAATTGAACGTAGAATAACATACTGAAGTATGTACATCTCCTGAAACACCCTGTATATCTCATTTTACTCACCTATAGCAACTGCTGTGTCCACGGAATCACCCGTAACCATTTTAACCTGCACTCCCGATTCCTTCAATATAGTAATAGCTTCCCTAACCTGCGGCCTAGGTGGGTCGCATATACCTACAATTCCCACGTAGACCAGATCCTGTAAGGTGGTACCTTTCGCCATCGACATAACCCTGAGTCCTTTTTTAGCGATTTCGTGCGCTTCCGCCATAAATTCTTGCTGCTTAGCTGCAGTCAAAGGCGTAACGTTACCGTTCCAACTATAAGAAGTACATTTAGGTAAGATTTTCTCTATCGCGCCTTTTACGAAGTAAACTTCTCCCTTGTCGCGGTCATATTTCGAGGAACACTTAACTGCCATCATTTTCTGTTCGGAACTGAAGGGGTACTCCTGCAGCCGCACGTAACGATCACCAACGTTATACATTCCGTGTTTCATGGCGGCGGCTAACAACGCGCCCTCAGTCGGTTGACCTAACAAAAGTTCGTTTATTATAGAAGCGTTATTACAAACCGCTCCAACCTAAAAAAAAATATACGTTAAAATGTACTCCTACATTTAGTTGTGATGATTAACGACAAAACTAAAGCACTTGCCTCCAATAACTGGTGAACGCTTTCTCTTGCTTTGTCAGGAAAGTCGCATTTGTGTAACAGAACCTGGCCGTGGTCATTGTATCCTGCGCCGGTTAGCTCTGCTATGTATCCGTCTGAGGTGACAAGTACCGTGGCGGTCATTTCGTTTCTCGTTATCGTTCCTGTCTTATCGGAGCATATCACATTAACACAACCAAGAGTTTCGACGGTAGGCAGCTTTTTTACTATGGCGTTTCTTTTTGCCATTCGCATTACCCCCAATGCTAAAGTTACTGTGACGACGATCGGCAAACCTACAATTAAAAACCACGTTGATTATACTATCGGTTTCATAGACTACGCTATCAGTTAACGTAAGGCTTTGAAGCATACAAACCTTCAGGGATAGCAGCAACAGCCAAACTGACACTTATAGTGAACATTTCCATTATAGGCCTTCCTTGAATCCAACCGACCAGCATAATCAGCCCTATTATCCCAAATGAGTAAATAGAAAGCTGGGTTCCAAGACTATCCATTGATTTCTGTAATGGCGTTTTCGGCGCTTCTTCCTCTAACATCATTTTGAAAACCGAACCAAATTCACTGTTTGTTCCTGTGCTTACGACTATACCCTAAAATTTATTACGTTTGTTTAAAACACGAAATAACATGTTCATTAAAATTGTAAAACTAATTTACTTAAAAAATTATGCATATGTTTATTGCTTCTTACCTTACCATTCCCACACCGTACCAGTGTACCCATAAATGCTATATTAGTGTTTGAGGAATGTGCTCCGTTGGGTCTTATGACGGAGTCAATGTTTTTCTTCGCCGGTTCGGTTTCACCCGTAAATGAACTTTCATCAATGGTGAGATCATTCGTCTCGAATAAACGTATATCTGCCGGTACTCTATCGCCCACATTTAAGAGAACCACATCGCCGGGAACTAACTCTCGTGCGAGGAAACTATCTGCCGTTCCTTCTCTCAGACTAAAACATGAAAAGGAACTTTAATACTACACCTTTTCCAGATGTATTTCAAAAAGAGTGAATTTAGTTTCAGAAACATTTAATTTCAGAAATTATTAATCAAATGTTGATATTTATAAATTTCATTTCATTATACCGATATTTTGGGTCTTAATTTCAGCAAAAAAGCCATATATCATAGGCAAAATATTAAATGTTATAAAAATTACTAATTACTAATATGATATGTTAAAGGTTAGTACGATTAATTCCTTTGTAATAGGTTTTATTAATTAAGCCAGTATAAATAGTTCCATTAATATAGAGCGTATCCTTCTGGACGACCCACGATTTCCCCTCAAATTGCTTTGAATTCTCCATGAATTCTTGTCCCTTGTACACCATAGTTGCCCTGCAGTTACCCTGAATTTTTATTATTTTCTTTATCCACGTGAAGGGCATCCTTAATAGAATATGCCAGATATAGTTTTAGCAATGAAATGTCAGCACTTTTTTATCTCTATATTTTTCTTAGACACTGATTAGTAATATACTAATCAATGGATTTTTTTTATCTTGTAATTATTTTTCATTAAAGATAAATGTAGGATAAAATCATATGTATAGGTATATTAATGAAAATTATCAATGTCTATGTGTTGTCTAGAAGTGTCTAATTATGGTTAAAAGTCATTGATTTCAGATTACTGAAAAAAATATTTAAGTATGTCTCTATGTAATTATACATACAGTGTAGGAAAGTACCAATGGTCTATCTGAAGTTACGTGAGAGCGATAAAGTAAGCCATAGAAATCCATGCGATAGAGAAGGATGACTATAATGAAGGCCTCTCATAGTCACCGCCCGTTTGGCCCTTCCACAAATAAGATCCACTTCTTATTTGTGGAAGGGCGAAATGGGCGTTGACTACTAGACGCCTTCATTATAGCCATCCTTGTCCATCACATGGATTTCTATGGCTTACTTTATCGCTCTCACGTAACTTCTGATAGACCATCGGTACTTTCCTACACTGTATATTAAGATTATGTACAACCACCTAAAATGATTACTCCGACAACTTCTTCATTTTTGACTGTAGAGAAACAATTCCCTATAGTTGTGGTGTAGTTAGAAGTTTTCGAATATTCAATTTTAGAAAAAACAATGGAATATTACGGCTTTTAGGCGTAAGTTAGGAACAATTTCTATAACTCAAAAAAATACTTTAGTTGCGTATCACTAAAATAAATTTAAAATTTGCTCTAGATAATCTGCATTTATTTTCAAAATTTACTAAATTTTAAATTTCTTCAAGCAATAACACAAATACCTGTTTTGATAGAAATAACTGTTTAAAAGGTCCGACATTTCAAAGTATAAGCGATAGATGTTATGAAATATTACAAATACGTCCTCAATATGTAACTTATGTGCCCAGTCTAAGATTAAAATATGAATAAGAAATCTGGAACGACTTAGAAGATATCGCAAAGAACATTATAGTATTAGATTAGAGAGGAATATAGAAGCATTACATTGAAATATTAATGTGAAATATTTAAAATACACCCTCGTGCTCCTGAATTTCTTGAACTTGAACCATGTCTAAGTTTAAAATATGAAAAATATGATATCATCCCCCTTAAAGGATAAAAAATTTATATAAAAAGTAAATTTAGAACCTTGTGTTTCAGAAAATATAGTTTTTCAAAAAACATCAAACGTATTTCAAACATTTCATATAGTGGGTGTTTTTGGGGTAGCCAAAGATGAACACAGACATATTTCTCAGGCTTTTGTTTATTAAATTTTTTTTATAGGAACTTTAGCAAAAAGGTGTAGTTTAATTAGAAATAAATTTATTTAATTTTCATTGAATGATCCAAAAATTCAGATGTCCACAATTGACATCTGTAATATAAAATTGAAATTTATTTTTCCCTCCAATTTAGCAGTAAGTAACAAGTCTATTTTTTTACAGTAAATAAAGTGAAGTGTCACAAAGCGCCTGCATTTTATAAAAATCTCCACCGATAAAGAAAATATGTCAAAAAAACAAGACTCAGGTGTTCTTAGCGACATCTATATTTTAGGTAAGAAATAAGTTTACATTCATCTTTGACTACCCAAACAATCCAACAGCTTCCTAGAATAAAATTGAGTATACTGCAATACAGTTGACGTTTTCTATAGTCTATGCTGTGACCGAATAATACATTATTTTTTAGAATTCAGTTTATGGTTATACAACACATTTTCAGTTGCTTTTTGATTGTCGTGATTCAAGTATGACATATGTTACTTTCTGACGTTATAAAATAAACTATTTCAATAAAATTTACCAATCTATATTACTTAAATTTGAAAGAATTAAAAAGAGTGCTTGGTAAATAACTGATAGCAGATTAAAAATGCAAAGGAAATATAACTTACCAATGACATGATGGTGGAACGAGTTTCGTTAACTCTTGCAACGACTGTTCAGATCGATATTCCTGCACAAATGCTACAGTGACAACTATAACTATAGCTACGGTAATACTGATGGCATCGTCGAACTGAGTCATACAAGCTGAAACTACAGCAGAAGCTAAAAGTAATAAAATTAATGGATTTTTGAATTGTTCTAAGTACTTCTTCCATGGTGGGTCGCCATTTTTTACAGAAAACTCATTATATCTGTAATAAAATGTATAATATTTAACATTACTACGTCTTTATCTATACATGTGCAGGGTCATCGTCACGTAAAAATATTAAATGTGACCGTTTGTAACTTTAACATTGTCTTCATTAGTTTTCCAAGATGAATTCATATAAAAAAAAGGAAAAAAATCATACAAAATTGTCTTCTTGTAATTGAACACCCTGTACATTTGTATATATTCTGTTAGTACGTTACGTTTCCTTAAGAATATACCTTAAGGGGTAAAGCCACTCTAGAATTCTGAATCGATTTTTCGATAAATGGTTTAAATAATGCTTCATTATGTGAAGAATACAGGAAAAAAGTTTTAGGTGCAGAAAAATCGGGAACACGAGTCTTTTCGAGGTGGAGCGCAACCACTTGCAGCATATTGTAATTCGTGAATTTTATTTCCTTGAAAAATTAGTAAATAAATTATATAAATTTCTTTGGTATTTTTAAAGACAACAAAGTTACAGTCGAGTTTATTGTTTTTGCGTCACTGCCCTGTACTTGTATGCAACTGAGTGAAAATGTGTACGAATACTGCTACTACATATTTGTATATAAAATAGTTACCCTGCTATTTTTCGTCTGTCTGTCGCTTCTTGCCAACTTAGTCCTTTCCTTATATCCACTCGTAGTCTGTCTGACACTTCTTCATACCTCAGGCTACTGGCCTCGCTGGCCGTCAGCCACATCGCCTCCTTGTTGTCCTCTGCCTAAAAAAAAAATTATATAAGTAACGATAAGAAATTTTACAAGATTTCTTTCTTGCAAAAATGTACACCTTTTATACAGATTGTCTGATTAAAATTAATCTAAGAGCAATTGCATTGTTGCTAGATTTCTACCAGGGAATTGTTGTTGTTGTTGTTGTTTTACAGTGCTACGATGTGTGTAACCGTAAGAAAGAGTGATACCCAAATAAGTAAAAATAAATAAATATTCTGCTAAAAAAATAAAAATTCCATGTTATATCTCAAAAAGTGACAATCTGGCAACGATACAACTGCGCTCATTGGATGGGATGGAGCATGTCCTTTTATCACTGGATTCCAAATTTGACAATCAGACGACCCTAACATTAGCGGTGCGTCATAAAAAAAAATGTATAAAACAAATATTTTTCAAGTTATAGAGAACAGAAATATAGAAAAATGTAGTTTTTTTTATGAGAAACTATAATATATGAGAAAAGGGGACATCTTTTAGAAAAAAAACATAAATAAATAAACAAGAATAAACATGCTGAATTCTATATCAATTAATTAAATAATTGTTATTGATTTCTTATTAGGCTGTATGTACACATAGACACTGTAAGTGCCTAGATAACATCTAAAGATTATAACGCAGTGTATCCACTACTTAAGAGCGATAAGACATTTAATTTCCATCATATCTAAACATTTAAGTGTCTGAGTGTATCTGCAGCATTAGACATTTAACTGATGTTGAAAAATAGTTTTTTATAATGAGTAATGGTTTAAAAATAATAAAATTAATAAACCAATTTACATTGCCATATTTCCTACATTACTATATACTAACATATAATCATTTTAATCACTTTTAACTATTTAAGTGACTTGCGAATATTGAAAATTCATATCACGTTAGTATTTTAAATAATTATGAAACAAAAAGATATTACACTCATTTTCCTAGTTACATGTATAATTTACAAAGTTGCAAATAGTTACAAAGATATAACATAATATTTAAAACATTTACTTCAGTCGATAATACCCGGCTTTTTATTTAGTGTACATTACTAAACACGTACAAATGCGCTCTACTTAATTTCATTTATTTATAGCCACTTACTACATTTTATGTTAAATAAATTCAAATAAGTAGATACTTTAGTTTTGTAATGTTCTACTTAAACAGATAATTTTATTATCCTTTTAAAATAAACGGTTCAATGAATCACCTTATTAACTTGTGTTAACATAATTATACTGTTGAGGACAGTCGTTTTCTCAATTAAATAAATATGTACAATATAGTTTTTATTGTAATTGAAGCGATGCTAAACCACCCGTAACTGCAAATTAATTATTGAAATCTACTAGAACTCGTCTGATTTCACTGTAATGGATCCCTTGACTATAAGAGAAGTTTAATAAAATTTAGTTCTTCTATTTCACATGTTCAAATAGAATAATAATTACCTATATTACTACTACAATTTAAAAATCTATTAAAAGCTCTTTTGTTATACAGGGTGTTTCAGGATTAAGTCGACAAACTATAAGGAGATATTGCTCATAAAAAAGTAAGACAAAAATCAAGTAAGTATAAATTTTTTCCAGAAACGCTTCATTTTCGAAATATAGGGCGTTAAAGATTTTTAAAATAAATTCGAATTTTTTAAATAACTTCTAAATGAAGAAGGCTATTTAAGCCAAATTTGGCATGACACATCTTCTTATAAGATACCATTTTTCCATAGAAGTAGAAGGCCCGCAAGCAACAAGTGGCGGAGTTATGGGGACTCACTCATTAAATTATAAAAAAAAAATAATACGACCCTACTGAAAATAAAAATGATGCTGTTTTTAGATAGAACAGTTTGTTATTGGCAAAAAGTGTACATTCACTTTTTTTCCTAACTCTTACAGTTTCGTGGCAAAATTGATTTTTCCGAAGGGTGCTTCTGGATTCTGTCGATAAACTTTAGAAAGACGTTCCTCATAAATCCTAAACAAATATAGTACCTATTAAAATTGTTCTTAGTCTCGAGTCTGTGAGAGTCAAATAAGCCTTTTTGTCTCCCCTTCCTTTGGGTTTAACCAATAGTATTAAAATTATTTAGGAAATGCTTCGTTTTTGAGATATAGGGTGTTTTTTTTTTTAGAAAAAAAAAAGATGTTGACGAAAACAATAGAAATATTTAAGTACCTAACATCTAATGTGACTATGTCGTAATGCGACAACGTAACGACCCATGCAATACTCCTAAATTTTTTCAGGCGGTTTGTAGTCACTTCATTTACTTGTGTATTTTTAAATAAAATAAGATGGCAAACAATACATGAAAATTTGGACACGCTTGGACTATTAGCTGTCTTAGATCTTCTAGGGCACGGGTCGGCAAGTAATTTTAGGTGGGGTCCGGATACTTTTGAAAAATTTCAACGAGGTCCAGAAAAAATATTCATATTTCTTACTAATTTTTTATTTTAATTTGGACTCAAATTGAATCTGCTTCCTAACCATTAAGAACTCAAATCAGTCTCACAATTGTAAAGTATTAGAAAAAATCAAACGTAAAAAAATTTTTTTTAATTAATTTATTTGAATAATTTATACTTTAAAAAAATTTTTTGAAAGTATAAATTTTTTTTCTTTAATAATTTAATGAGTCTGAGTCCGCATAACTCCGCCACTGGTTGCTGGTATCTTATAAGAAAATGTGTCTTGCCAAATTTGGCCTCTTCATTTAGAAGTTATTTAAAAAATTCGAATTTTTTTAAAAATCTTTAACGCCCTATATTTCGAAAATGAAGCGTCTCTGAAAAAAAAAATTATACTTGATTTTTTTCTTAGCAATATCCTTAAAGTTTGTCGACTTAATCCTGAAACACCCTGTATATTTATTTCAAATGTCGGTTCGAATTAATTGCTTGCTTTAAATATGTAGTTACAATTATAGGTACAGATTTATCTCTCAATGCTAAGCCGTTAAAATAAACCTGTTTCAATAAACGTGTGAAAAGTTATAGTTTCACCTTTACCTACTTGCCGTATCAATATTTTTGCACAATTTAAAAATAGTAAAATATTTGCTGGAAATATATGCATTCTGATACAATGGTAAGTAAATGAAAGGTCAGATGTGTAGTACAACAGTGACTGACACCTAGATTCCGTTCTTTGATAAAATTCAGCAGATGCATATTCATTTTAGAGGAAGTGGTAACTTTAAAACTAAATTAATCTGGAATCTACTAATCATTCAAAGACAAACATTTTGATGTAAAATATAAAAGAAGCAAAATTAAAAGCATGCTAACAAAAATATCCAATAGGTAGTCAAAAAGTAATATGGATGCAGGTAAGGTACATTTTTAATTTGAAATTCAGGAGAACCTTTTCTTGTTGGGATACTTGAAAGACAAAAAATAAGGAGGTACATGTTAGCCATGAACAGAGGCAAAAAGGAAATAAATTAATTATTACAATATTTATCATATAAGGTGTACCCTTATGAAATGTAAAAATTTTGGGAATCCACAGATAATTTTATGTTGAGCAAAATAGTTCTTACGAAGAGAGGGTAGTATTGAGATCAAAATCAGCCCGATTGGTTGAAAATTCGAGTTTTGGTCAGTTAATGTTGATTTTATAATGGCATATTTGGTCCACAAGGTATTTGCAGAATACTTTTCGGAATAAATTGGAAAATTCAATAAAAAACATGCACAAAATCAAATCAAATCGAACATACCAGCTCCTGAAAGTAAGCTAATATGATTTCGTTAACACAATCATGTTATTTTATTTCTCAATTCCTATTCAATATTCTTTGTCACATGGTTTTAACCGGTAATAAATTTTCTGCATTGTCTCTAATATTTTCCAGTACATCCATTTCATAAAATGTCTGCACACTGACAACCATAATCAATAAACGTCAAAGTATCAATAACTGTCAAAACTGTTAGATAAGTGGTTTAAAATGGACCAAACTTATTTTTCGTTGAAAAAATCCATGTTTAATGTCAAAATGACTGAAAGCTAATGAATAAAAAATTTGGGTTTTTTGGTTTTGTTTGTCTACCTTTCACAAAGATGATATATGTACAATATATATTGTTATTATTTTATTATTAATGTTATTACATAATTACACTTAGTGGTCGAATGCATATCGTGATTGGCCATTTTTCTCAAAAACATTGCATTTTATGAAAAAATATCGAGACAAAAAAGGTTCTAAATTCAATTGCTTTCTAGGGAACTAATGATTTTTAAGAAATTCAAATATCAGTATCAGATTCCACATGTTATAAAAACCCCCGTGTACTAAATTTAGTGATTGTCGTACAACAGAGTTCTGAGATATAAAAAAGACTATTCCTAGGGGCGGATTTCAGGGGGCTGTAACTCCGAAAGAGGCGGCTACTTAGCAAAAATAAAAAATACGGGTCCCCTAAATTTGTTTTAAGACTCTATGACCAAATTTTGTTGCATTAATTTCAGGATACCCTGTATATTGTAAACACGTTATTAATTTTTGTAAAGCCAAATAATTCCTATGAAAATAAAAAATAATAGATGACCTTACTGTTGTAAATACATATTTATTACTGAATTTAATTTTTTTTCTATATTATTATGTTTATTGATGAAAAAGTGAAAAAGGTCGCCTCAAGGTCGAGAAATATTCGAGGTAGGTATATTATGTACCTATATGCAATAAAATTTGGTGATTTCTAATTAGTAATTTTTTTTAAACATTGTTTTTATACAAAATGTGGGAACATAATCTTCCATGCCTAATAAAACAAATTAATAGAGTTTAACTGTGGGAGAATTAAAAGAATTACAAATTAATTTCATTACATAATTTTTCTCTTTATATCCTCGTGATTAGGTTTCACGAATAACTTCAATTATCGTCCTTAATATTCCATGAAGATGTTCAGCTATAACTTCTGTTTTTTTATAAAAAAATTAATAAACAAATTCTGTATCAGCCTATATTAATAATAATAATAATAAAAATTAATTAATTATTAAGCAAAAAAAAAATCCATTGCAATTTCTATAAAGATCTATTAATTTGTTAAAAAATATATATAATTAATTTTTTCTGAATTAATGTAAAACGGGATGATTTGTCCTTTTAAATGAATAATTTATATATGTTTTCCATACGTAAAAAATCACAATAGACTAAAACAATTTATTAGATTCCGGATAAAAAAATTCCAAATGCAATTTTTCAAAAAATGTTTTAAGAGCTGTATGATTAAAAATATAGAATCTATTTTTTACTTATTATGTTAATGACCTAGCTGTACATCTACAAATCATGATATACATATATCTTATTTATTTTGTTGGTAGATGTTTCATTCATATTGTTAAATTAAACTTGTGGAAAAAAAACTTACTTTTAAGGTATTAGCGATCTTCAGATTCTGTTAAAAAATGCTCATAATTATATTCGGCTATCTCAAAAATCGCCCAAATAGTGAAAAGTGAAATAGAATATATATTTTTGAAAGCACATAACTTTTTTTAAAGAATCAAAATTGTACTTGATCTAAATCGATTTATTTTCATCCAAGGAAGCTACCCTTCGTTAGCGGACCTTGTACATCTATAAATCTATAAATTAATTTATTAAAAGTGTTAAGATTTGACTGTGGTAAATATCAACGATACAAGAATGTATTGACCAAATAAGCCTATAAATAGCATTTAGGTTGAGGCTCTAACCTATCACAATTGCTGCGTAAACAAAAAAATTCCCCTAACCATTAATAAACCAAAAACTCACCTTGTCTTCATTTTTCTTCCGACAGAAGCACAGAACTTTCGAACACTGAATCATACCTTCCATCAAACATTAACAGTCAAGGGTTATTTATTAATGACCATTATTTATTATTAGAATATCGGTATTTCTCAAATGAGAAGTAGGAGTACTTGCTAGAGGTTGCGGCGTTTTTACAAATCCAAAAAAAAAAAAGACGAATAAAAAACAGGCAATTATTTGTATTAATTATCGGAAAGAAAAAATGTTTGATTGACTGTTTCCTCGTCGTTACAATTTAACTTTGCCACTGCTCGCTGCCGTTCGCTGCGGTTACATCAACAATAAATAAATTGCTGTACGGACTAGTGAACTCATTAAGTAGATAGGTACAATTATAAACATAACAAACATGTACATATTTCCCAAAATTCAAATAACAGTGATTGTTAATGTCGGAAAGTTAAGGTATAATAACAGATGTTGGAGAAAAGAATTATAAATGAGATAAAATATATCTAATATATTTAAAAAATGCTTATATCAAAAAATAGTATATTCAATTTGTGTTTTTTCACAGCATATGTATGTATAAGCGAATTTAATGGAAATTATATCGGAGTTTACTGAATACGTTTAATATAAATAAAAAAATTAATGTTTATTGAGGAATGTTATATCGACTTATACATTTGCTTACCGGCAAAGTATGACTCATTTTTTCTGATATAAACAGCTGTAAGTTGCTGGAATCAAACAACGCTACAACTAAAATAAGCTGTAGTTAACTTTCAAACAATAAATTATAAAGGTAAGTGCATATTTTTAAGTGACATGACTGTAATTTTTGTGTATACGAAATGATGAGTAATAATTAGTTAAGAAGTATTTAGTCAGCAATTGATTAATGAATATTTTATTATTTCAGTAAGTTATTTTCTTTTACAGTGTGTCCTCAACTGGGGTAACGCACTTTTTACAGGGTTAGTCACTATAATCCGACAACTTATTGCGAGTTTATTATTTAAATTACAAAAAAGTTTTTAATACAAAAGTTTTTAGTTTTTATGAATTTTTATAATACATTATTAGAAAAAACAATTGAGTAATGGAAATCGCTAAATTCCGAAATTGAAATTTTAATTAATATTTCGTTTAACAATAATTTTTGTGACATTCTTGTAAATTAAAAAAAATTAAATATGTATGAAAGATGAATTTTTTCTGGGGTTCAGGGCTATTCTACGCATTCGTAAATATGTTCATTGTTATTTTTTCGTCGAGCTATCCCAGTTAAAAAAAAAAAAGAAGTTTCTACGATGAATAGAAGATATAGCCGAGATATAGCAAAATTTTACTTTTTTCGCGCGCGCCACTCGCTTGGACGAGCTTCCCCCATCACCACGCCCGCCGGACAGTTTACTTAGTAACTACCTTCTCTTTAAAGGGCTCGTGAGTCGCTAATTTTCCACATTTTTCAATGCAATTCACGGGAAATCATAGTTTACGTCGTAAACTTTATTTTGCGAAAAATTCAAGTCTTAATGTTTATAAATAATTGCGCTACGATTTAAAAAAAAATCTTATCTTGGCTCCTGTTGGTCGTAGAGGGTGCTTTAAAAAAAAATTGTATTTTATTTTTTTGCCAGCTATCCATTGAATCTATTTTCGGTAAGGTAGCATAAATAGCAACAATTTTATTCAAATTGTTTATAAACGAAAAACGCACGGTTCTTTAATACACAATTTGAGAATGTTAATGTCAAAAAAACGGTGATATTTTTTAATAGGTCGCTTAATTGCGTCTTTAAGATTACAATGACGCTTTCAGAATCATGTTTGATTGAAAATTAACGTTTGTACAGAGGCTTAAAGTTCATAACTTTTGGAGCCTCCGCTATAAACAAATAGAATTGTGCGAAAACTATTGCACCTACAGCGCCCACTTTTGGCACACTTTTAAAGTATGACAAAACCCTCAACTTGTCATAGGTTTTATAAAATTTTAACAATAAATGCGATAGTTATAAACAAATTAAAAAATGGGCACTTTTCTTGTTTTTTTGCAATAACTTTTTTGTTTATTAACCGATTTTAATTTAACCAGTCTCATTTTGTAGATAATTTTACTCCCTATAAGCTGTCTGAGAGTCACTTTTCGCTAAAATTGATGGTTTTCCCTGCAAAGTGAAAAAACCGTTTTCCTCACTTATTTGTTTAAATAGAAAAGTTAGCTAATAAAATTTTTTGACTCACGAGATGAGAGATGTCTTGTTCCTTTAGACAATTTTACAATAATATCGTGGATAGGAATTTTTTCGAGTTTGTCTTTTTTTTTTCGCTAATTTTCCTGGTCAAATATACAGCCCTAATATATATACAGGGTGTCTCATTTTAAATTACGCACCTGAATATCTCGTCAGAGAAGCCATCAATCCGAATAACCCCTACGAAAGTTGTTGGGTTCGAAGGAGAATATCAGATGGTGACCCTCAATTTGACCTTGACTTTAACATTCAAGGCCATTTGAAGGTCAAATCTAATTTTTTAAATAGGAACTTCTATTTTTTACCCCGGATTAAGAAAGAGTGCAAAATTTTGCGTTTAGATAGGTACCTACTTTAGATTTTTGTAAAAATTGCAAATACCAATAAATCTCGAGATACCAGATAATTCATTAGTTATAAAACTGATGACGTAGATACTATGTATTACCCCACGTCGACGTATTGATAATAAATACTTTTACTTGAAAAATCAGCAAAAGAACATAAGTGTTATTAAATTCTCAAATAATAACTTTTATTATTGTATTACACCTTCTAAAATAAATTCATAAACAACAAACTTTTATCGCCGCTAACCAATCTACATCTACTTCGAATAAGATCTGATATATCTCTTTGAAGTTTTTATCTGAGTTAAATTAATATTTAAAACTAGTACGATGGGTATTTTGAAACATATTTTTTTGTATCACTTGAACTGATCTAAAACTATAAAAAAAGATTAATCTTATTGCTGCATAAATCTTGACAAAGACTACTTCAGATGTTATACAGAGAATTGCAAATATAACAGAAATGAAGCTCAGATGTGGAAATAAAGATTTTAAAGCATGTTTCTTTTAAGAAATAGAATTTCTTCTAAATATTTTGAGATTTATATAAAAATCGGTTCAAATATCAGATAAAAATGTCAAAGCAGAGTAAACAAATAAAGGTTTCCAAACTAAAACAATTAAAAGGTTTTAAAGAACGAATTGAATTGAAAACTTAGGTAAAATTATCCATAATATTCAATGCACGAGTGGTATTTTATTAGAAAATTATGTGAATCAATAAACTTAATTTATTGATCTCATGCGATTGTCACTTAATATCACGTTGCCACTTGTCACACACAACTACTGTAAACCGTTAGCAAAAGCAGGAGGTAAATAAAAATCGATTAACAAAAATAACAAGTTACCGAAATGTCAATTCAATAAAAACCCATTTACAACTAGACACACATAAGGCTTTTTTTCGCGAGTGAAGTCGTATGTTGTAGTATGTGTAGTATGAGTGAATATTACGTTTTTGCGAGAATAGTCAGTCATTTAAACTACTATGTGACGTCACAAGTTTAGATCAAATGACTGAACTCTTCACCCTTCAGCTGAATATTCTGTTGGTATATTCAACTAGTATTGTCAGCTGGTAACTTAACCTTTTTCTTTTTGACATTTTGTTTGAATGAGTATAAAAATCGTTCAGCAAAATGATGGATTCTGATATGGTTGTGGAAGTGGCCAGTTTAAATTTAAACTCTAGAGGCACAGATGTTTTAGTAAACATAGACGTTGAAACAGCAAATATTTTACTTGATGGTGAGATTAATTTTTTATTTGGGACATATTTGCAATCCACTTTGCTTCAGGATTATCCTCTTTTTTTTTGTGACCTAGGCCAGAGATAATATTGGTGGAATCATTTGTAATTCAAGTCTTTTTCGTATGAATTACATAAAAAGCCGACCTAACCTTCCATTCTCTTACGATAACGATTATGTCGAATATTCGCATATCTTGCAACGTCAGAATCTACATACTTTTCACGCTTTTTAAATTTGCCACTTAAAAATATTCCAAAGAAAGCATTGATATATTCCTTCAGTTTTATTTGAAGCAAATACATATATTATATAGTGAGATATAACACCAATTCCCACAACACTAGATTACTGGAAGCAATAAATGATGACAAATTATGGTTACTGGTTAGAAGTTAAAACCCATATGTCAAAGTCGTCAAAGTACATACTACATATCACTGAATAGTGAATATATACATTTTCGCCATCTGTTCAGGTTAGACAAGGTTAGATTAGAAATAAGATTAAAAGAGATAGAAACAGTAACTACAAGTCAGACGTATTCACCAATATTCACTCGCGAAAAAAAGCCTATACTTCCATGAAGAAGTAGTAGGGAAAATGAAAAACCGTGATCGCAAAGACATTGTGTTTCTTTACTTTCAACTTCAGCTTCAAGAAACATAATTTCTGAGAAACTTCTAGTAGTAGAATTATAAATTTTAATAATCATATTTTCAACTGCCAAAATTTTAATGGTTAAGTTTATATTCTAATACTGTTAGATATATTAATAAAAGTTACAAATTGCATTTAGTTGTTTATTGAAGACCGAAAATTTTGCACTAGTGCAGAATTCTGCACTAATGCAAATAATGGATAATTTGCACTAGCGCATAATTGTTGCCTAATTTCAATGTTTCAAGGCAACAATAAAAACACGTAATTTCTTTGTTCAAATGTTAAATTGTGTAACTGTATTTTGTTAATGTTAATGTTAATAAATTTTGAGTCGCCATCGTTTACCTTTCAGAAGACATACAATTAGGTAATAGGCATTTTAATTTTTTTCTACAAAAGCCATCACCATTATTTGAGAATATATTTAAACCATTAGGTATTTTTTTTAGGAATTACTAAAGTCAGTTTTTAACATCAATGATTAATAAACTATCTATTTTCGTATACAACCGATCAGGTGATTTTTGGCATTTTATCATTTAAGGAAATCTACATTTTATACATATTTTGATAAGGATAAAAGATAATAACAATTTATGACACGTGGATAATTAACATTTTTATGATTATAATCCTAAAAACAATTTTTCAGATTGATATTTGAAAAGGAATAG